AATATTAATAATATTTTGGTCTAATATTGAAACTTTTAACTTAATAAAAGTATTTGGTAAAAATTAACATTACACATCTCATAAACACTGAAATATTGTCCCCCCTCCTCCTCACACATGCAAATAATTGTGACACTTAATATTTATTTTTTGTTTTTCTATTTTTAGTTTCTTACGTCAAGATCATCACAGACTGCTTAACTAGATGGAACTCGAAGTCCATGATGATCACCTCTGTAATTCGTTTGAGAGAAGTCCTTGAAGAATTGAGAGACAGTAAATGTGAATTTGCTGATGTCATCCCGTCAGAGAGTCAGTTTTTACTTTTGGCGGAAGTTCAACCCATCTTGGATTCATTCCGGGAAGTCAGCAAGGCCTTTTCTGCTGACAAGCATCCTACAATTCATCTTGCCAGCAACCAACTGGTCAACCTTCAGATAAAGCTAAACTTAAAGAACAAAATTGGATCCCCAAAATGTTGATAAAACTGTTTACCTCAAGACCAACATTGGAAAGATGGATAAGGCAAGATCTGCTTTTACAATTGAAACAGCAGAAGAAGAAAGAGAAAGGAAATCCAAGACCAACCAAAAAAATCAATCTGCTGTCACTCCACACGACAAAACAGAAGGATCCGAACAAACAGTGGTTCCATTGATATTTCTGATGATTAAACTTAATTTGTACATCTGTAAATTGTAATTTAAATCAATTACAAGCAATAATAGTTATTACAAAGAATAAAATCTAAAAAAAAGTTTTATCTATTTACTTTTCTGTTTTGCATAATTTTACACTCTTAAATCCATTAAAAATGGTCTAAAACTCGGTTTGATATCCATCTTGAAAATTTCGGAATACTTCGAAAAAAATTTGAAAAAAATTTGAAATACTTCGAAAAAAAATTTGAATATTTTCGAAGTCCGAATTTGCTTTGATTGACTTCAAAACTTTGACTTTGATTTTCGTAGTTACAAATGTTCACTTTGAAACTTCGACTTCGAAAGACTTTGTCACCCGTAATGCAGAAGCTTAACTGTGGTTATTCAGATATTACAACGAAAACTATTAAAAAATCATATGATTCAATTGCTGATCCATTAATGATTATATTCAACAAATATTTAGAAACAGGCTGTATTCAAAGTGAATTTAAAATAGGTAGCGTTATGCCACTTAATAAACAGAAAGGTGATATTCATGATATTAATAGTTATTGAAGTATTACTATAATTTCTCCATTAATAAAAGTGTTTGAACGAATAATTGCTAAAAGATTAACTATATACTTTGAACAAAATGATTTATTCAATGATGATCAACACGGTTTCAAATGCAATCATTCATGCGAAACTTCGTTGTACGTTCTTATCTCGAAAGTAAAATTAAGCAACTCCAAAAAACTCTTTACATTATTATTATTTATTGATTTCAGAAAAGCTTTTGACTTAGTAGATTCCAGATTATTGATTATGAAACTTAAGCATTACGGTTTTTCAACTGATGCTTTGAACTTAATAAGCAACTACTTTCATAATAGAAAAATATTTACAAAAGTTATTGATGCATACTCTAATGAAGAACAAGTTAATATCGGTATACCACAGGTTTCAATTTTAGGATCTCTTTTTTTTTTGGTTTACATAAATGACCTACCCGATTATCTAACGCTATTTGAATCAACATTATTTGCAGATGATAAAACTCTAATGACAAGTGATACAAACATAAATCATCTAATTACAAAGACAGAATTTAATAAATTTACCGAGTGGTGCTATGCTAATAAACATCTCGACATCAATTCGGATAAAAAAAAAGCAATGATTTTAACAAATAAACATTTAACCAAAATGATATTGCCAACATCAATCATATTAGGTGATAAGTTCCAAATTGAATTAGTAAATTCATTTTCTTTGCTTGGTGTCATTATTAACAGAAAATTACATTTTACCGAACACATAAAAAAAGATAAAAGCAAAAGCTTATAAAAAAATATTCTCAATAACTAATATATTTGGTCTAGCCTTTAAAGTTTGTCTAGAATTCTTCAAAACATTTATTCTACCTAACTTTGATTACTGTTCAAGTCTTATAATTTACTACACAAGAAAAGAAATTCAAAGCCTTAGCAATGCATACTATATGATTTTATTCTTACTACTTAAAATTAATATTCAAAACAAAGATATATTTCAAATAAATCAACAACTTAAACCAACAACCTACACAGTTATCATCATCGATTTGTATGCAGAGCACTACAACTATGCAATAAAATAATTTATTACAAGTAACCGATTAACTTATTTAAACAACTTAATTTTATTAACATTGATAACATCAAGTACAATACTAGAAATAAAAACTTTTTAAATTTCAAAGTATCCAACAAACATGATGAATAGACATTTAAGACTTTTTTTAGCAATATAATTAACAAGCATTGCAATAACAACATCAAACCAAAAGAATTTAACGATCTATTTTTAGTAGATAATATCAACGTAATTATAATACATACAATTAATAACAACATTAGATTTGATGTCAACATAAACAGATTAAATAACTATATCGACTTCTACATTAGCAAAAAAAAAAGAAAAAAAAAAGACTAAACATTATTTAAAATTTTTAATATCCTATATTTTGTATTTATAATAATTTCTTATACTACTTGTATCTTATATTACACTTCTATTCACCAGCGATGGTAAAAAACATATAGTCCATAGAAAAGAAGTTAAAAATAAAAAAATGAAAATAAAAACCGATAATAAATGTATATTTTATATGGTATACCTAGAGAAGAAAAATAAATAAATAAAATAAATAAAAATTAATACGTGACAATTTGTTAGTAGGGTTAGGAGGGGAGGATCAAAAAATGCGGGACGTAGTTTATGGACAACCTCCAACATAGAAATATAACCAGAAATAGCGACAGATGTGGTGTCAAAAACCGGATTTTCTTCATCATCCGTATCTAATAAAAACAAGTTACCAATTAATTGCTTAACTGCTTTTTTCTCTTTATTATTAATTGATATGAACTAAAAAAAGATGACTTCAAAGCTTATAAATTTGTAAGACATCACTGCGTATTCCTAGCTAATAAGTGGGTCTTAGTTGCGTAGAGTAAAACACAAAACTATTGTTTGTTGTCACCCAACAATAATTTCTTATCTAAAAATAATCACAAAGTGAATATAATGAAAATTGCGATGACGAAAACGCTGCTGTTTTTTGTTTGAAAACGGAGACGTCTAAAAAAAGACAATAAATAAGTTGTATAATATACAGCTTGTATTGAGTTACAACATAATAAATAATAGTAGCAAATTATATAACATATTATTTAACAGTTTAAAGTTATATAACATTATTTATAAAAATTTATTTAATCGTCACAAATGAAAGGTTCGGCCAATCGACCGAAAAAACAGTTTTTTCAAAACGAATATTTGCCAAATCTTCGATTGAATAAAATATATATGTAAAAAAAGATTTTAACCTCAAAACAAAAACCAAATTTAAATTAATAAAAATTATATTGTAATTATATTGTAGTTTTCTGGGAATAAACACAAAGTTGAATTCTAGAAATAAATACAGTTTGAATTCTTTTTCTTTGATAAATAAAACACTGATTTAAGACATTTTTTGCGAAACTTTAAATTAGTTAAAAATCAACTTGGTGTCCCAAGAAGTCTTTACGGTCTTACGGTCTTACGGTCTTACGGTCACAAAGCCGTAAGACCGTAAGACCGTTTTTTATCTCGGAGTTACATAAACCTTTTTTACATAATATTTATTGAAATTTTCAAGTTAATATTCAAAGTAATCATTCTAATTAACCCTTTCGTGCTACACAGCAGCAGTGTAGAATATCGCGCATGCGCATAAGAGATATTGTGTTTAATGTGTTTTTTGAACCAAAAATTGAAGTAAAAAGGAATTTTTACTTCACTAACAAATATGTTGTTTTTATGAGAAAAAAAAAGGTTTTCTCCACTCGTCAATATTGCCACACAATTGCCTCTCTCATACACCTGTTTGAGCAACAGAGGAAAAATTTTTTATCTATGTTTTTGTATCTTTGTTAAAACTGGTCAAAAATTTGGTCAAAACTGCTTTCCATATTTGCTTAAAATGGCAATAGACAGCTCTGTCAATTGGCTGAAGAATGTGAGTTAAGTGAGCTGGCACACAAATTAAGATTATATTTTTTTCCCGACATAGTAATAAATCTGCCGAACTGACTAAAGACGTACGCCCATCAAGATATAAAATATGAATACCGCTAAATTGAAATTCTGGTATATACACTTCCTTCAATCATTCAATAAATGTCTAAAAGTTCGTTTTGCTATGTATTCCAGGAATGGAGGTGTTAAGCATCCATCAGCATTACAGCAGTTCTTCATTTTATAATGGATTTTTTTGTTACTAGTTTCAAAACACGGTTTGCACCTTTTTGATATAATACAGTTGCTTGATCACCACAGAAACCCGTTTTAGCGCTATTCCATATACTAAAATAAGAAGTTATACCTGACAATTGATATTTTTTCGTGGTATATGTTTAATTGATATTGAAGACTTCAAAATTATTATCAATTATTTCTTGTGTATAAAAAACGGCTCCGACAGGTGCTAAATTGTGAGTATTTCTTATTGCAATTTTTTATAGACCATTGTTTCATAAATACATAAAACCAGTCTTTGCTAGGCATGCCGTTTTTAAAATTTACCGGATTAATTAGTACGAATAAGGTAGCTGCATACGAACCCCATAACATCGTTTTGTGTTAAATTATAACCCTATTCACAAAGGAGTCAAAAACAAATTTTTTTTAGTTGTTAAAAGATCTCCAAAACGACCTGACGGTCTTATCGCAGAGCACCGCGGAAGAGCCTTTTTCCTTATCAATGTTGCTTATCTTATCGGTGCCGGTAACCTTGAATCTTTTGGTTTTAAACTAGAACTCTAGCCACTTTTCTATGTCTGCTATTTTTAATGTAAACCCGATACGATAACTTATGTAAGTCCATAAAGTTGCGTTATTCTCTAAAAGATAATTTCTGCGTCAGAAAGGTAAGTAGTTTAACTAAACGTTTAATTGAAACAAAGAGTTAATTTTTCGCATATATACCTTCTATTTTGTCATTTACATTAATGAAAAAATTGACACGTAACTGATATTCTAGCCATTCTTTTCCAACACTTTGTACTGTTGGTAAATCTAAATTTATTTATAAACACCATAGTTTAATAATATGATCTGTTCTGATCGTTTATTTGCGCTTTTTCTTAATTATAAGCTCTTTTTTAGTCGGAATTCTGGTATTTTTTGTGAAAAGTTTTTTTTTTTTTTTTTTTTTTTGTAATTTCGCTTTCATTGAAATGTCACAGTACAACTATATGCCGTATATATGGTGTTACAATTAAAAAAATTCCAATACCAGTATAATTAAAATAAGAAAAACACTCACATATATAAGTATAAGCATATATACATTTATAGATGTGCACATATATAAATTGCTAACAATTAAACATAAGCTAGGACCTGAAAAAAGATCACAAGATCTTGTCGTCAGAACCTTATAAAATACAATCAAGCAAAATAAAGAAAAGTATAACATACAAAAAATAAAGTAAAATTAAAAAATAAAAAAGTTATAAAAGTCAAATAACAGTTTTTAAAACATTAGAAGTATCTAAGCATATTATCAAGTAAAAAAATACATTTTTTAAGAAAGAGCTTGAAAAGATAAAAGGAAGTTGGTTGATCGAGATTTCGCAGAACAATTTTATTCCATAGGTGGGGTCCACAATAAGCAATGCAAAATTGATTAAATTTTGTGTGACAAAACGACTCATTTAATAATTTATGTTTCTCATATCGTATATGTTGTTAGGTTTGAGTTTGAAAAGATTATTAAAAGTGATAGAAATATTGTATTTTGACAACTATATAAAGTTAATATACGTCAGAACCGATTAGAACTAGGATCTATAGTAAATTAAGGCACTTTTTTCAAAAGATTTTAACTAAATTCATGTTAACGCCGACGAGCGAAAGCGATTTAAAGACTCCTAAATGGTGTTTTTTAGATTCACTATAAGGGATAGTAAAAAGGTTTTGAAAATTATATAAAAAAGTGAAAAGTTTCTTCAAATATTAAAAAAACATGAAAAAAAAAAAAAAAATTATAACATCTAAAGCTTTTGTTTGGACATAATACGCTTATAAAATCATACTAATTTCAAATAAAAGAAGTCGAATAATTTGTAAATCGCCTTAACTACACCGAATATATGGATTTTAAATATTTAAAACATAGTGAAAGTAGGAGGCCATTGAAAATTTTTCTTGTTTTGTATATACAACATTCTCTATAAGTATATCTTTGCTTTAAGTAGTTATGTTGAAAATACTTTTTTATTCAATTGTTTGCAATACCTTTTGTTAAACTGATTGTCTGTTGCGATATTAAAAAAAAACAAAAAAAAAACGATAACAAATATATTTAGAATGATATCAAATAGAATTCTATTTTTTCAATTTTTCAAAGATTTTTTTAGTTTTATCAAACTTTAAAAACTCACAATGAAAAAAAAAATGTTTTGAAAAAAACATGCTTAATCTTTTGCGTTACAAACTAAATATTCTTATTAATGGTTAAGCGATAAATCGTTATTCTTTTTAATCTTTTAATTGAGCCTAACTGCAAAAGTCACTAAAATAAAATTTTTGAGTTTCTATTTCTATATTTTACATAATTCTACAGTATTCTATTTCTATATTCTATATAGCGAAATCTTTCATCTATATAAATATTAGACCAATAAATTTGTTAATTTAAACAAAAAAATGCACAAATAAAAACTTTTGGTTCTAAACATAGACACAGAAATATCAAATTTCTGTTGATGCGGAAAATATCAATTTCCCAACGGGCATTTCTTTTTAAAAGTTACGTTCTAAATGTCTTTTAAACGTTTTTAAACATCTTTTAAACGCTTTTTAAGTAAGAATATTTAGAAGACGTTTAAAATACATTTAGAACGTAACTTTTAAAAACAAAATGGATTCCTTTGATGATTTAGTTTTTCGTTGGTTTCTTAAAATTACTTTACTCGGATCGCGTTTTGCAAATGGACTGCTCAATTGATAAAATGCAGTTTATTTGATTGATTTTTTTTTCGCTTTTTACCCATGTAAAGGTAAAAATATCGGCTACTCCTAAGTGTGTTTTGGATTTTATTTAAACTCAAGAGAAAATTTTAATTTCTTGAGTCATATTTTTCACGGAAACTTCTCTTCATATCTTCCAGGAAACATATCTTCCCAGAAACATATTTTCCCGGAAACTTTCCCGGAAATTTTCCCGGAGTAGTAAATAAGGACTCTAAAAATGATTTATCAGGTTCGATCGATTACACCGAAGTGATTTTTTTGTGATTTAAATGTTTTGATATATGTAAGAAGTTTTTTTTTTACGTTTGTTTGTTGTTGTACAATTTATAGTAATAATAAAAGATCACTTTAAAATGTTCTTATATAAAGCCATAGCATGATATAAAGCCATAGTATGATATAAAGCCATAGTATGATATAAAGCCATAATATGATAAAAAGCCATAGTATGATAGAAAGCCATAGTATGATAGAAAGTCACAGTATGAAAGAAAGCCATAGTATGATAGAAAGCCATAGTATGATAGAAAGCCATAGTATGATAGAAAGCCATAGTATGATAGAAAGCCATAGTATGATATAAAGCCATAGTATGATAGAAAGCCATAGTATGATAGAAAGCCATAGTATGATAGAAAGCCATAGTATGATAGAAAGCCATAGTATGATAGAAAGCCATAGTATACAAAAAAATATAAAACAAAAGCTATAGTTTGATTTTAGAGTTTACACAAAATAAAGTGTTTCTAGTTTGTTTTTTTTACATTTTTTTATTCTTTGCTTCATTTTAAAAACTTTTTTTATTTTATTTGTACTATTCATTTCTATATTATACTGATGCAATTTCTTGATCATTTCTTTTGAAAAAATATCTCATTACAAAAGTCCTTAATCCCTGGGAAATTATTACTTGTAGCGTTATGACCTTTAAATTCCAAGATTTTGATTTCAAGAGTTTGTTGAAATCCTAACTTACCTTTTCACTCTTAATTTTCTGATAAATTTAAACTCAAAATGTTCTTATCTCCTAAGGTATTTCATAAGGTTCCTGGGATTTCCTGAGGTATTTCATAAGGTTCCTGGGGTTTCCTGGGAAACTAAGGCTTTAAAGTCTTATTTTCCCGAGTCTTGTTTTACCACGACACCGGTTCCAAATTCGCAAAGCATGTTTTAAAAAGTTTAATTTTTTTTTCTTATTATTGTTTTTAACATTTAACTTTTTTTGCCTCTGTTTTATTAAGATAATCTTTTAGTAACAACAGTTAACATAACTTTATTTATTAACTTTATCTTATGACGTTATTAAATTTATAAAATGTAATTTGAACGTTAATCGCCATTTGAGCACTAAATATTTTTGTCTACATTGTAATTCTATATTTTTGTCAAATAGTTAAAATCTTGAAAATAATTCTTGTAAGTCTAGTAATTTGAATAAAATTAATTGCATCAGATTTCAAACGTTAAGCTTTTTCAAACATTTTATTTTTACATTTAAGAATTTAATAATGATTTGTAGTCGTTTAGAATTATATTAAAATAAAGTACACAGTCGTGATGCAGTCGTGATGCAGTCGTGATGCAGTCGTGATGCAGTGGTGCTAGAACTCTAGTTCTAGCCAGAACTTATGATTTGAACTCTGGCTCAGAACCAAGATGTTCACGGTTCGAAATCGGCTCTACCCCAATAAGCGACATTGGTAAGGAAGGTGGCGTTAACTTTCTGGTTAAATTCTCCTCCGCGGTGCTTTGTTATAAGACCGCGGAGGTCTCCTTAGAGTATCTTTAAAAAAAAAAATTTACACAAATATTTATATATAGGGTTGCCAGACGTCCAACTTTTACAAAAGAGAACATAGCAAAAATATTTATTTTTACAGATTTGGCACCGTAATTTCCTCCGTTAAAGCCAGACGTTTGGCAACTCTATTTATATAGTATTGCTCAAACACGGACTTAGTTCTGCAAAAGTGCGTGAATATTTTGGTGAATTTTTTTGCACATTTGGTGAATAAAAAGCAAATAAAATTCTTTCAACAAATATTATTTGAAGACATTAAAATAAATAAATAAACGAGTTTTCTAAAATATAGTTAAAAAAAAATGAATAAAATTCCAATAAACTTAACTATAAAACACGAAACTAAATGAATTAAATTCCCGTAAATACTTTAAAAAAAGTTTTTAAAATTCCCATTAGAGAAGAAAAAAAATTACTTGGAAAGATTTTTCGACTACAACAAAGAAAATGCGATCGTTTTACGCAAATTTTGTTTTCCTTGTAAAGTCTTTTTACCCTAATTATTGTTAATAACGCTTTGCGATTTATTTTAATAAGAAGTTCATAAAAATTAGTGTTTATAAAAAATTAATTTAAGGTTTTTATAACTTTTTATACATCAAATTCAAAGAATGAATAGTAAGAAAAGAAGGTTAAACAAATTTAATGATAATTTAAAGAAAATGTTTTCTTTCTTAAAGCAGATCAAAGACGAGCTCCTCAAATGTACTATTTGTCAAAGCCTATATGACACTAGTAGTCGCGGACGCAGGGCCGTGCACAGATTTTCGTGGACCCGAGCATTATTCAATTTAGGGGCCCATCTCCCTCCTTCTCTTTCAAAAAAAAATCTCTTTAAAATTTTTTATTATATTTCTCATATATAATTGTAATTAAGAAGTCCAGCTTTTGTTTCTTACAATATATTTTTTTTGTCTTTTGTTTTGCAAACTCTTCAATCACATCATGGAAATCAAGATTTGTGCTAATAGACATTCAATACTCAAAATGGCAAGATTACTTGTTTGTTCTTTTCCTATAGAGCATAAAAAAAATCACTGAATTTCTGAAGAGTTCCCTCATTTCTAAAATTTTGTGTAACAAGCCGAATGGGGAAAGTGGTTTTTCTCCAAAGTTTGCAGAATGATATTTTTTTATGTGAAGCAATTTTTCTTTCAGTTCATTTTCAGTCATTTCATAAGAATACTTTGGCGAAAAATGACTGCACTCTTTATCATTGCTTCATATATTTTTTAATATTCCCACAAAAAAGATAATATAGCAAAGATTTCTTGAATGGCTGTGAAACGAACAGTGAGTCTACCAATCACAAAGTCAAGAATGTAAAAAAAAACTGCTAAGAAATGTTGCTTCCTCCTGATTCTTTTTCGGTTGATTCCGTAATATGTTCATCACCTTAAATTTGCTCAAACAAAATACTGCTGTCTTTGCTGGGCTAAATAAAAGTCAATCTCGAGAAAAGGATTCTTCATTAGGTATTCTGATTTTTAAAACAGACATTATGATTTCTAAAACACACATTAAATATATGATTTCTAGTATCTTTTGGCATATCCAGTGGAAAAAGAATGTAACCAGTCCTAACAAACCTAATTAGCTAATTAAAAAAAAATTGAAAAAAGGAAGAAATGTTAATTTTTAAGTCATCAATGCCAAATGGTTGCAGAAAAGCTGGTCCAACAGTGCTAGTGCAGAAGATTGAATGTTTCCGTCATCTTCTGCTGCGTTAAGCTAGTAGAAGGGGCATCTGATGTCTTTGGAGCTCCAACATCAAGTAATGTTTACCTCTTGTGTAGAGTTGCTTCGATTGCTTTGCTGATTTTAAACGTAAATATATATGTATATATATATATATATATATATATATATATATATATATATATATATATATATATATATATATATATATATATATATATATATATATATATATATATATATATATATATATATATATATATATTACATATAATATTGTGTGTTTATCATTATTAATTTATAAATTAAATTATATAATCAAACGAATCGCCTGTTAAAATAACTCTTCATAATACGTCATTTTTAAAGTTTGTCTTGTACTAGGTTTGCACTAGGATCATATTACAAAATTTTCTTAATATCAGTTAAGAAATAAAATTTCAAGACCAGGTTTATTTCTATTGACTATGATAAAACTTGCTTGTTCTATTGTTAACGGCATTGAACATTTTTGCTGCATATGAGTGTGAAAAGTTGTAACTAATTTGCCTTGAAGCGTAAGGATAAAGGAATAGAAAAAAAATACCCTGGAAGTTTATTGCATTTCTGTAGGTAAATTTATTTAAGTCAACTACTTGTGGGGACCTCAAAAGGAGCTGGGGCCCCGAGCAATTTGCTCGAGTGACTCACCCTCTGCACGGCCCTGCGTCGACGGTCTGCAATTGAAGATCATTGCAAATCTATCAAACACAAAATGGCGTTGGATGCTTCTATATCGTCAAACAAAATCACAAAGTTGTTGAAGAGTCAGAGCTTTGGTCAAAGTAAAAAAATATTAGCCATTCAAGAAGGAACACTTGCATTCCACACAATCAAACACAACCATACCTTTAGAAGTGCTGATTCTACATCTAAGCTAATTAAGAAACTTTATAATCCAAGATTTGCTTGAGCACGTACAAAATGTGAAGCAATAATTATAAACGTGTTCATGAAGTATTGTGAAACTAACTCAGAAAATGCTTTATAAAAAGCATCATATGTGTCAATTCTTTCTGATGCGTCAAACCACAAGGACGTTAAAATGTATCCAATTTTAACTCGTTATTTTGATGTTAAAGAGGGAATGCGAATTCAGCTGATTAACTTGAATTGTGTAAATGGAGAAACATCAGATATTTTATCAGAAGTTTTCTTTAAATGTATTAGTGCTAACAATATTTCTTCAAAAGCTTTGTCTATTTCTGCAGACAACACCAAAGCCAATATCGGAGGTTTAAAACGAAACGGTAATAAGTTAATCGTTAAACAAAACCGTGAAGTCATTGGTATCGGTTGCAATGCTCATACTTTATCAAACGCAATAAACACTGCATCTGGCTGTTTATTTATTCTTGTGGAGATAGTTATTCCTCAAATTTTTTTTTTTTCTTTCCGTTTTACTGTTTGAGTTTCTAGTTTAGAAAGTTTCTGCGATGATGCCGGATGTGGAATATAAAAAATTGCTAAGATTCTCAAAAGTTCGTTGGTTGGTCTTACTTCCAGCTATTAAAAGAGTGCTTAAGTTATATCAGCCACTAAGCAGGGCCAACGACACGGGTTTCAAAAGGTTTCGAAAACAATCTTCAATTCTTAAAAAAAGTCTTCTATATCTAGAATTTTCTTTAAATTAAAAAAAAAAGGATCTCCCGGTGTCGTCGGCCCTGCTTAGATCATACTTTTTAAGTTTAGAAAATTGTTTGAAACTTTTATTTGACTTTTTCAATAACGAAATGGGTGAAATAGTATTTTTTTTTTTTGTTCACAGTCAAGCCAATATTTTTTGTATCACAGTAAAAAAAATTCAGAAATACAATATTTCTGCTGCTGAAGTTGTCGTAGTATAAAAGGATTTGAAAGACCAGATAAAGTCTTGAAAAGAAGAAAAATTTCTACCTTTCATGGTAAGACAGCATTTGCAAGTTACCGAAGAAAGTAGTCATTATTTGAAAAACCAATTTCTGAAAGAAGTAGACATTTTTTACAGTGTCTGTTTAGAGTATATAGATAAATGGACGCGTCGCTTTAATCAGGTTAAAGTTTTCAAATGGACAAGCGATGGGTTGAAATTTTTTCTCGTATCGAAAATAATCACGCTCCTTATAACAATTTGTTAAAATTGGTGGAAGCCGCTTTATGTTTCCCAGGTTCAAACGCTTCCGTAGAGCGATTGTTTTCGATTGCCAATGATATTTAAACGGCAGGGAAATTCCAACTTACAATGAAAACTTTGGCAGCTATTTTGTTAGTTAAACTTAATTTTAAAAAATATAGCTGCTCAGAATTTACAGAAAAAACTACGGAATATGGACAGCTTCTAAAGAATATGCAAAATCATTAGAATACTGGATTATTCTTACCTTGTCGAACATGGGCGAAAATTTTTTTCTTGATATCAGTCCAACTCTTTATATGATTTTTTTTTATCTTTATATTTTTATGACTTACATACAAACAAAAATCAATCGCTATATGTTTTATCGCTAAAAGTCGACATGTTGCTAAAAATAATTCATTTTTATGAAAAATATTTGTGATTTAAAAGTGAAAATATTGTTTAATTTTTTTTCTATAATTTAGTTTCTTCACATGTTATTTTAAAATAAATAAACGAGTTTTTAGTGGAACCCATTTAAACCAGGGGCGGGAGTGAGGGAGCACGTGCTCCCCTGCGCTTTGTCCTGTTTGGCTTGTAAAAAATTGAAATTAAACATATATTCAAAAATTGTTAGTACAACACAAAAAAGGGCAAGGCGAAACCGTCTTAAAATATAAAAAGTATAATTAATCATTTTATTAAATATACGCAAAATCTTATCAAAAAATAGATGAATATAGACGCTAAAAAAAATTGCCTTTTGGCACCTTTATTTTTATCTTATTTATGGCGCCTCTTGAAAAAGAGCTCCCTCTTTGAAGAAATGGTATTTAAATTAGGCTACGGGCCTGATTTAAACACCATTTATATTTATACAAAGCAAATTTATTCCTTGTACGCGTCTGGTATTTTTCAAATATGGTCAACTGCATATTTTAGAGTAGACTGAGCCAAACCTAAAAATATTCCAGTCTAAACAACATTTTATTTTGTTAGTCGCACGAACAATTTGCGTTGAAAGATTTTTGGCCAAAAATTCCATGTTGACATGTTTTCCTGCTCATACAACCTTAATCTTTTCAAGTCTTCTATCAACCGTTTCCTTGCTCTATAAACTATATTCTTTTTTTTAGTAACCCAGTGGGCGTCGGATTAAAAAAAACGTCTGTTGAACGTTCAAAAGACGTCTAAAACGATCAAAAGACGTTCAAAAGACGTCCAAAATTAAAATCGTTTTAAAAGCATTAAGTCTTTTCGAATTTTGTTTATTACTTAATGAAACTATAAAAATATTCTGATTTACAGTTGTATAAAAATGTGGTGTTTTTAAATATTTTGGTCATTGTATTGATTTAAAAACATTTTTTGTCGTCAAAAGCTTTTAATATCGTACTTGATTTTAGAATATAAAGTTTCTTTTGAAGTCGCTATAAGTTTTCTTTTAAAGTTTAAAGTTTTTTAACTGTTAAATTTTAAGATAGTAACAATCAAAATTTAGTTTTAAATTAAAATTTAATTTCTTCTGTTTAAAAAAGTATCAAGTTGCAGGAAGTGTTATTAGATAGGAAGTGTTAATAGATTTTGATAATTTGGAGAAAAATTTCAATTTCTCAAAAAGGAAATTTTATTTGAAACATAAAATAATCTTCTAGAGAGTCACAAGTTGGTTTGGACTCTTGTTTTCCAACTAAGATATTATTGTAAGCAGTTTTGCAACATGGACATCATTAAAAGTAACTTGAGATACTCTCTCATGATATAAACTTTGAAATTTGTCTAAAACTTAAAAAAATTAAATCATGAACCTGATCTGTGATTCAGTTCATTCATAAAAATCTCACTAACTTTAATTATTTGTTTATTTACGATAAAATAATATATCAGACATTTAAATAAAATTAAATATCATAAAATTGTTCATAATAATCTTCAGTTTTTTACAATAGCATTTATGCGGCTCTTGGTAAGTATTTTAAATATTTTTTTGGAAAAATAACTCTCTACTTAAAATAAGATGCAGACCTCTGGCCTATTTGATATCTATTCACATCGTCTTGTAAATCTCATTTATTCAAACCAACGGTATTAATTTTGATTTAATTTTTTTAGCTAAATAAACAATCACGTGGTATAGCCCATTTGCATAAAGAACCTTCGAAATGTTTACTTTATTATTTAAAACATTAAAAACGAGATCAAATGAGGTAGAACGAGAATCGTTTCAAAAACTTCTCAAAATGATATATTTAAAAACTGAATTCGTAAATCATTTTAAAAAAGGAAGAATAGCATGAAACGCAATTTATGATATTTTAAATAGACTTGGTCATTTATTTTCTAATAAAAAGCGTTCTGATCGTCCAAAAATCCTAGACATAAAAAAAAAGAAAACCAAGTTCAAGAGATTTGTCAATAACCGAAAAGAGGTCAGTCAGAGAAAATTGAGTAAACCAATCGACAATTGGTCGTCGATTTCAAAAAATGAAAATATGGATATTACACAGTCATCAAAGAAACATGTCCAGAGAGTGTTCACTGACAAAAGAGAAATTTTCAAAAGTTAACAATGTAGATTGCCGTAATTTTTTAAAAGTTAACAATATAGATTGCCGTATCTAACAGAAGTCTAAACAATTGTTTTGTACTTCAAAGCTGTGGCACTAGGAAAAAATTAAACATATTGTTATTGCGTTTTTTTTTAATAGTTGTAACTTTATAAAAACTTTGATAGAATTGAATAAAGTTTAACACAGTAAAAATAAGTTTTTGAATAAATCCAGTTTTTTGAGGTTTGCTGAATTTACGTCTAAAATACACACGCACACATTATGCAAAATAATTTATAATAGCGATGAAGCTTTTGTACGATAAACGCGTTGCCGTTTGAAGAAATAACAAGCGATTTAAAATTTATTTTAGTAAAGTAGCGTCAGTTTTTTTTTTTAAATAACCTCGTTTTCAGAAAAAAACTGACATTTTTTTTGGTGTTAAAAAATCTCGTTTCAAGGTATATAAAATATGATCCTACATTATAATGGCATTACAAATATACATTTTCAAAATGTAATTTGTCTGACTTTACTAAGTACGAATTTCAGAAACTGCGTTCAATAAATTTAGCCAAATACATTTTTGTCATGCAATAAGCTTAAGATAAAGAATTGCGGTATGTTTTTTGCAAAAGTATGTTTGTTTTTTAAAGTAATCGCAAATTATGAAACAAAACAATAAATAATAATAATTCAAACGCTAAATTATAGAACAAGAATTCATAAAAATCTATTTTACCATTGATTCATCAAAACACTGAATTATTCATTAAATTTGCATTAAACGCATCTGATGAATACCTCGCAAAATCAAAAGTAAAAATATTTCGCGCTGTCGATATGCTTTGCGTTTGGTTGTTCGAATTTTTAAAAAAACTATCCATGTGAAAGTTCTAAATATTAGTATTAAAAAAAAAAGTCTGCGTAAAAGTTTAAGTTATTATTATGAAATTAAAGTGTTAATATATTGAAAATAAAGAGAATATACAACAAGTAAGGAAGCAAATCAATTGTTTTTTCAAAAAAAGATATAGAAATGATAAGATGAAGGTTAACAGAAAGAGGATTGTGGTGAAAATTGTAAGAATTTTTTTAGTTTTTTAAGAAACTAGTTAATTGAAGCTAACATTTAATTTAAAAATATTCATAGAAAACAAATTTTCATAGAAAAAATGAATAAATGTAAAACGATAAAAACTTTTTGCTAATTCAATTAGCAATTAGCAATTTAAAAAAATAAAAAACGTACCCAATGTTAAGACAAGCCCACATATATACACAATTTAAAAATTTAGACTAATAACTATAGATTCAATATATTAATGTTCAGTTAGTAATTGAACATTAATATACTAAAATCCAGGGGTTTTAATAAATTATTGTTTAATTTAATTATCTATAATTATTAGTCTAAATTTCTAAATTTTGTATACATGTGGGCTTGTCTTATCATTGCAAACGTTTTTTATTTTTTTAAATCTATAAAATGTTAAAGTTTATGTATGTATATTAAGAGGTCGTCCATAAATTATCTCGCGCGATTTTTGACTGTTTTTGATCCCTCCCCCTTTTTTCACAAAATTGTAACTCTTTAGTAATAACTCCCGTACGAGTCGTCAAAAAACCTCTAACTCAAACCCCCCCCCGCCCTTCCCTAGAGGATAAAAGCAACGTCAAGTCTACTTTAATAACACACTTATTCAACATTAACTCAATGACTAAAATATTGAATTAAGATATACAATATATACAATATAGAACCGTATACAAGACCTTTGTTTGAAAACCATATGTAATGAAATACACGTTTTAAGACACGTAAAAAAAATTTTTACTGAATAATTTAAATAACTACATAAATACAATTAAAAAAAGTCGCTCATTAGTTTCAATTTAGTATACGAATCTATATTCACAAGAATGCTACCTACTAATTTGAGGGAGATACAACTTTTATATGGTTATAACTGTGAATGCAAAGGTATTATTGGATGATTTGGAAATGTTTTGATTAATAAATTTTAAAAATTAGGAGAAAAAATTTAGTTAAAAATAGTAAAAAATTTGTTTCTCTCGCGTTGTTCTTATGAAATTATTCATTCCCAGACTCATTGCAATCATTTTTTGGCAAGTATAAGCATATAAATATTTAGAGTTTGTCCCGTGTTTAAAAGCTTAATCGCCAAAAAACGATGCAACCGCTCTTGTACATTCTTGCATGTACAGGGGCGGTTGATATCAGCATGTAAGATAAGATACAATGATTTTGACAGTTAGACCATGTTGGAGTGAACACACTGCTCTTTTTTAGAGGTTTTAAGTAAAAGTTAATTTTAATTTAGATTTTTTTCAAACTTTCTAGCAGGTTGACATGAAATAGAATTCGTTGAAAACGAATTAAAAATTGCATTTTTTTTCATTATTTTACCATTTTTCTAAATATTTAAAACCTTCAAAAAATGAGGGTTTTCTTATCTTTGTGTGCCCGTATCTTTCGAGGGTCAAAATACATTTTAATAAAATTGGAAAAATAATTTATATTTATGTTATAAATATGCAACTAATGCCATAAACACGATACAATTTAGACAAATTCGTCTAGATAAATTACGTTAAACGTCTGTTCATTTGTTTAAATTTATAATTTATTAGAGTATTGATTTATAAAATTTAAATAACCTAATACATAAAAAATACTAAATAAAGACTAAATAATAAGTCTGAAAAAAGCAGGAGCTCATTTAGAAAATAGAAGATATGTTTTTATTGAGTCAACAAAGACAAATGCCTATTTTTGGAGAAGAATTCATTGGTTTCTCTGATCAAAGAAGAATATTTAGAGAAGAAGAACTCATTGATTCATCTGATCAAAGACTTTGTGGACACTGAATTACGTCTGAACCTAAGGTCTCATCCGTATGGAATATGCGGAAGCTGCAAGACAAACTTATATTTAAAACAGAAAAGGTGTCAGCAAAGTTCTGGAGACTTCCTAGATAAATGATCGTGATCAAGTAAAAAAAATGAGGAAGATCTGTCATTGTACTATTTGCTGCCTCGGACAGTGTATTAGAAGTAGTAACATACCTAATCTTTCTGAATTCATCTACGTAGAATATGAAAAAATTCGAAAAAGAAAACCATATTGCTCATAATGCTGTCAAATTGTTGGTCGTGGCGTTCGTCATTCTTGAACAAAAAATCTAATGCTTTAATTACTTTTTAATTAATTGTACACTAAAAGAAATATCTGTTATTGGTGATAGTAAAAAAATAAAACTGGCAACAGGAGAAAAAACTTCTTGAATCTTTGAAAAAAAAAGTCATGCCTGAAGATAACCCATGATCTTCCAAATTATGCAATATTAGGAATAATGAAGGAGATAAAAAATGATGTTGGACGATCTGGAAAAAACCTGAAGTTAAGATCAGGAAAAAACCTGAAGTTAAGATCAGGGTACTTGAATAAGTTTTACAATGTGATAAAATGTCAGCTCAAGAACGGTAAAAACTTTCTAGAAAAATATATTCTTTGTTCTAATAACCTATCTTTGCTTGTAACTGAACTTAATTTGAAACTTTTAATTCTGTTGTGTTAGTATTGATGAAGTGCAGGGATCTCTAAAGATTGTCATGAACGTGTTTTGCTCATCAGTATTAAATTTTCAAGCGAGAAACCAGAAGTACACCAAGGTCAACAAAGTGATTATTTTAGACATAGTTTGAAACTATAAATAGAAGAGAATCGTCACAATTTGAAAACACTTTTCTAACTGCTTTAACGCAATCAATTAAAGTTTCCCTTGGCATCTGACCTCAAATTAATAAAAAACATCATCATAGGATTATCAGTAAGTAACTTATTTCCATATCTTGACTTGATATGCAATGTAAATTTTGAATAAATAATACCTATAATTTATTTTCTATAATAAAGGGTCACGGTGGAAAATACTTGTGTTGCTATTGTGATGGGCTAATTGACAAAAATGGAGTTTAAAGAACTTTTGAATCACTAGTACATGAATTTGAAAAATACCAATTTGATAACAAGCCTTGTACTCAGATGTAATATTGTTGAAAAATGAAAAATTAAAATGTTATTAATCCATATCTGTTGGATAAAAAATTGGCTGAGGTCAACATAATTCCACACCTATACATCATACTTATGAGCACCATGTAACTAAAAATATTGATCTCCTCTTCACTCATAAAAATCTAAAAGAATTTCTTGAAATGAAAACGGTTATTAGGCATGGCTATAATGGTGGTGGTTTTGATGGACCAAACTATGCCAAAGTTTTAAGATCTTTACCAGAGACGGATCCAGGAACTTTTGGTGATGAGGAAGGGGGGGGGACGTTGAAATATTTTTTGTATTTTGTATCACATTTGCGTCTCCTAAATAAAATTAAAAAAAGTCATTCATTTCTAAGATATTTTAGAACTTTCAGATTCTAGAAGGAGGAGGGGGAGGGAAATAAGCATAACCACATCCACCCTACCCCTGCATCCGTCACTGATCTTTGAACGAAATGATACTTCATTCTCCAATTGAATATTTGGAATGTATTGAGACTCTGAGAAGGTTTAAAGAAGTTGTTTTATTAATTTTTAAATTGCTTTTAACACACTAATAGTATTTTTAGTTTAATTAGTACAGATAAGGGCTATTAACCTACCAGTCTACATAAAGTTAGGAGACACAAATATGATAATACTTTTATTTTCAGCAAGTTAATATTTGGTTAACTTTTGTTTGATTTAGTTGCTGAACGCTGTTATGGGATGAAACTCGATATATCCTACAAAAAAAAATAGACAAGTTTGTGGAGTCCATGCTTCGTTTAACAAAATATGTCCATAATGTATTCGCAATGAAAATTCCTCTTAAATAAAGTTTTACATGATTAGGTTTCACCTCAAGGAATATCTCGATAGGCAAAAAATCCCGTTTGGTGTTACAACAGAGCAAACATCTGAACCAGTGCATAAAAACTTAAAAAAAGACACTGAAAAGGTTCGTTGTGTCTGAGAAAAACGTCTTTCACCGTAAAAAGCTAAGAGCTTTTGGTTGTTAAATGTTTGTATGGTTGTTATTGTTGGTTGTTAAATGCAATTCAATCAG